CCCCCCGCGTTTGGTCGTGAGCGGCGTGGGGACTCTTCCCCGTGGGGGCTCTTCCTCGCGGGAGCCGCCTCACGCCCCGCCGCGCTGCCCGGCCGCGGGAGCCGTCCGGAGCCCCCGGCCCACCTCCCTGTCCTCCTGTGGCCTGGGGGGCAAGTTTTGGTGTGCCTCTGTGCGGGGGATGGGGGGCTGCGCGCGTGTGTGGGGGTGTTACATCTGGGCTGGGTGTTGGTTTTGTTTTACTCTATTTTTTTTCCCATGTTGTGCTGAGATTTTTGGGTTTAGCCAAAAAATTATCTCCCAGGCCCTTATCAGCTGACACAGCGGGTAATGTACTTTCCCCTAGAATCCAGAGCTCAAAAGGCAGAGCTGGACCCCAGTGAAACATCCTCAGATCCCCTCTGTGGCCCCTTTATCCAGTGGGTTCCACACGTGTGGGCAATGTAAAGGATGGATGTCTAAAAAGAGCCCAGTCAGATCTTGACCACCCTGGTTTGCATCAGTTACACGTATTTTTAGAGCTGCAAACTGGATGTTTCTGGCAGCCGGGTATGGTGGTGAGACCCCAGGCTGCTCGGGAAAACTTTCTCTGGGTGATGGGAGCTGCAGGAGGGACACCACACAGTCCAGGGAGGCTTTGTGGAGTGTGCCTGGGGCAGACACCCATCTCAGGCAGTCCGAGCGCACATTTATTTCTCCTTTGACAGTTTATATGGATAGGAGAAATGTCCTGGACCCAGCAAATGCAAGTGGCTGAGCGCAAGAGACCCAAAAGCTTTGTCTTTAAACAGCTAGGGCTTGTAGATTATTATGGCAGGAAATGTTAGGATAGAGAGGAGGGATAAAAATAAATCCTGGGTCATTCGCTTGGGTCCTTCCTAAAACATACCTTTCTCTACCCAAATTTCTATACCTGCTCGCTTGCAGGTAGAAAGCTGCCATCAACCTTCTGAGGTTTCTTGGGCATGCCTGGGGCAGTAAAGCATGTCCCTGCCTATCTGTGGCCAGCGTGGCCCTGCCTCTCCCCTGGAATGGATCCCAGGAGCAGCGATGGTGCCTGGGAGGCTCAGCTCTCAGGCCACGGGGCGGAAGGGCAGCTGGGACCCTGTCCCCCCCCACAGTACCCCTTGCCACCCCACTGGCACCAGGCTCTTTGGTGAGAAGCAGAGCGAAAGTTTCTCCCTGCACATGCCTCATCCCAGATCCTCACCCACCTCTCCCCACACAGATGCACACAGAGTCCCCGGCCCCAGCGGACTGTGACTTACCAGGTTGACTGGGTGGATGTAGCCATTTTCATACTTGTCATTGGCCAGGATCTGCCTCAGGTGAGCGATGTAGCTGGAGGCCAACCTCAGTGTGTCCAGTTTGGAAAGCTTGGTGTCTGGGGGCACCCAGGGCAGGGTGGTCTTAAGCCTGGAGAAGGCTTTGCTAAGGACCCTCATCCTCGCCCTCTCCCTGGCGTTGGCAGCGTTTCTCTGGACCTGCTTTCCCTCCTGGCTCACTCCATTTAACGGGCTCTTCTTGGGGGGAGCTTTTTTCCTCTTGCCCGAGGCCCCTCTCCCCTTCTGAGGGGAGCCGTTCTCGCCATTGGATCCCTCCTCGTTGCTCTCGGTGGACGCCCCAAACTCTTTGTTAGTATCCATTTTCAGGCCATCGCACTCCAGCATCTCCACCTCCTGCAGATCTTCCACATCACTGAGGGACCCAGTGGACATGGTCTGGAAGATGCCAAAGGACCAGCGGGAAGGGGGGAGGGGGGGAAGAAGGGCAGCTCTTCAAATCTGCTTCAAGGCGGTGGGGGAGAGAATGGGCGCCAGTATTTTCCTCTCCTTCCCTCCTCCCCCTGGCACTAAGGTGCGATACCAGTCCAGAGAGGATCCCTGCCCTCCCGCCCTCCAACCCTGCTTTGCCCGTGTTTGAGGGTGGGAGGGAGTGTGTGTGTGTGTGTGTGTGTGTGTGTGTGTGTGTGAGAGAGAGAGAGAGAGAGAGAGAGAGAGAGAGAGAGAGAGAGAGAGAGAGAGAGAGAGAGAGAGAGAGAGAGAGAGAGAGAGAGAGAGAGAGAGAGAGAGAGAGAGAGAGAGAGAGAGAGAGAGAGAGAGAGAGAGAGAGAGAGAGAGAGAGAGAGAGAGAGAGAGAGAGAGAGAGAGAGAGAGAGAGAGAGAGAGAGAGAGAGAGAGAGAGAGAGAGAGAGAGAGAGAGAGAGAGAGAGAGAGAGAGAGAGAGAGAGAGAGAGAGAGAGAGAGAGAGAGAGAGAGAGAGAGAGAGAGAGAGAGAGAGAGAGAGAGAGAGAGAGAGAGAGAGAGAGAGAGAGAGAGAGAGAGAGAGAGAGAGAGAGAGAGAGAGAGAGAGAGAGAGAGAGAGAGAGAGAGAGAGAGAGAGAGAGAGAGAGAGAGAGAGAGAGAGAGAGAGAGAGAGAGAGAGAGAGAGAGAGAGAGAGAGAGAGAGAGAGAGAGAGAGAGAGAGAGAGAGAGAGAGAGAGAGAGAGAGAGAGAGAGAGAGAGAGAGAGAGAGAGAGAGAGAGAGAGAGAGAGAGAGAGAGAGAGAGAGAGAGAGAGAGAGAGAGAGAGAGAGAGAGAGA